CATTTGATATAAAATTAAAACTATTTTATTACTCTGAAAATAATCCGCCACCGCCATCCTACTCTCCCCTTCTCCACCCCCCTTAAAAAAAAAAAAAAAAGGAAAAAATTTTTTTTCTATGTGAACTTATTTCGATACACTTTCACATTAAACAACGAACACAGCTCAAATCTCAATCGATTAATAAAAAATATCATGTCTTCTGCTTTCGAAATAAAATAAAATAAAAAACGAAATTAAAATTTTAATAAAAAATTAAGAATGAAGTTTTTCGAGAAGGAAAAAAAATAAAAAATTAATTATTAATAGAATTCGTTAATAATAATAATCGTTGAAAAATTCGATTTCGAAAATAATAATAATAATAAAATAAAATAAAAAAAAAAGAAAAAAATTTAAGAGTTTCAAGTATCATCGAAAAATAATAATAATAATAAATAAATAAATAAAATATTCCTTTTAAGTTTAATTTAATAAACCGCAAAAAATTATTAATAATAATAATAATAATAATATGAAAAGCAATTAAAACGTCGATAAGAAAAAAAAATTAAATTATTTTCTCAGTTTTAATACTAGTTTTATAAAATTATATTTTATACTTCCTTCTTCGCCACCCACCCCCACCACCACCACCGCCATCGTCTATGACAAAGATTCCCTTATTTCGACCCTGTCCCCGTATTTTCTATTGTTTCTTATATTATTGATTTTCAAAAGTGTTAAAACCTTTTCTGGTGACGCGGCGCGTCGCGGCACGAACGGACGTACGTACGTACGATTCTTAATAATTGTTTAATAACAATTTGATGTTATTTTAATGAAAACAATAATAATAAATAAATAAATAAATAAACGTTGTTGCTGTTGTTGTTGTTTTCGTTAATTAATACAAAATTGCCTTTAACTTTATTAAACACGTAAAATCCATATATTATTAATTAATTTACGTGTTTTTAATTATCTAACGACGAAATTATTTATTTATTAAAAAAAAACCACAACGACTTTACCATCATCATCGTCACTTATTATCATTATTATTTATTTAAAACGTGACGTAATCGCGAATGATAAAAATCGAGAAAAATAAATATTATTGATAAAATCATCAAGACGATACTTTCAGATTAACAACAACAAAAACAATAATAATAATAATAGATTTAAAAAAAAAAAACGGCATTATTATTATTATTATTAATGATGATGATGATGATGATGATGATGATGATAAATAATAATAATAATAATAAAGGTTATTGGAAAAACCTATTTTATATAATTAAAGGTGAACGTCTTGATTTTAAAATTATCGAAACGTTTTTCCTTCATTATTATTATTATTATTATTATTATTATTATTTTACGTATAAAAAAAATTTTTGTAAAAATAAAAAATTTTAAACGTTATTGAATTTAAAACGCACATTTCCGGTTTCTTTTATTTCCGGTATTTATAAAAAAAAAAAAGGGATTCATATATAAACGTTGTTTTACAATATAAATGTATTTTAACGTGACCATCGGTTTTAATTGAAATTACATATTATAAATTTTAGTTTAGTTAGTGAATTAGTTAGTTAGTGAATTAGTTAGTTAGTTAGTTAATTAGTTAGTTAGTCAGTTGATTAAATAATTTTATAGAAAAAAAATCGGCGGTTAAATAAATCGGTTTTTTCCGAAATCGAGAGAGAGAAAGAGAAAAAAGGTTTGATTATTAGTTAACGTTAAATCTTTCGTTTGTTTCTTTGTTTGTTTTTTTTCCTTACCGCGATTAAAATTTTTTTTTTTTTTAAGAAGAAGACAAAGTCTTGTAAAGAAAATTATAAAACTTTTAAAAAAAAAAAAAAAATTTCTTTATTATAAATAAGACGACGACAACGACATAAAAGTTAAAATAATATTTAAAAAAATTTGTTTCTTTTTTGTTGCGTCGCTTCATTATTCCATTATTATTATTATTAATATTATTATTATTATTATTAATCGTATAAAAAGAATAAAAAATAATTTTTGATTAATTAAAAAAATTTTTTCTTTTTTAATTAACAAACAAACAAACAAAACATTTCGTTTGTTATTATTATTCTTTTCAACATCGTATTATTATAAAAAAAAATTATCATTATTAATTTATCCTCTATGTAATTTTCTATTAAATTTTTAATGAAGTTTTTTTTTTTTTTATTTTGTGTGGGGGAGCGGGGGTGGGAAGTGGAGTTGGAGAAAGAGGAGGAGAAATAGGAAAAAGGAGGAAATAGAAAGAAATAGGGGGAAGAGAAGCAGATCGTTTTAAAAACAAAAAAACCACGTTAATAATAATAAAATCGATAAATAAATAAAAAGCTATTATTATTATTATTATTATTATTATTATTATTATTATTATTATTATTATTAATTATTATTATTAATAAAAAATGTTATTAAACGCTCCGAAATTATTTTAATAAAATAAATTAATCGTTAATTGTTTAAATTAATTTTATAAAAAAATTTTTTAACGAAAAAAGAAAACTTTTACACACACTTTCACACACGTGCAGAAAAAAACTTAATAATAATAATAATAATAATAATAATAATAATAATAATAATAATTTTAAATGCATTATATCATTATATACGATAATAACCGTATAAAATAAAAATAAATAAATAAAAAATATTGTTCGTGTAAATGATTTAAATGAATATAAAATAAAATAAATAAAAAATTTATCCGAGCGAACGAATAAGGAAAAAATAAAAATTTTTTTCTTTTTTTTTTTCGACGTTTAAATACCTTCCAAATTTTTTTATTATTATTATTATCATCATCATCATCATCATCATCATCATGAATATTTCAATATATCATATCTATCAAAGGCAACAACGAGGAGAGAGAAAGAAAGAAAGAAAAAAAAGAAAAAAAAATTGTTTATTATTTAAATTTCACATTAATTTTTTCAACTAGAAAATATTAAAAATGAAAAATGTCATTTAAAAATAAGTAAATATTTATTTATATATATATATATATATATATATATATATATATATATATATATATCGTACCCTTTTTATTATTATTATTATTATTATTTTATTTCTTACCCGTAAAAAAAAAAAAAAAAAAAAATGGCAGAGAGATTTTAAAAAGCAACATATATATATATACCTTTAGGTTGTCAAAAACAGATTTCAAATAACCGCATGAGGTTTATTACTTTATCTTATAACAACCCTTTCCTCCACACATAAAGTGTGTGTGTGTGTGTGTGTATAAGTATTTTTTTTTCCCACCCCCCACTTTCTTCTACCACGTTTCTCTCTCTCTCACTCTCCTGCCACGTTTACGTGCCACACGATGAGAAAATTAATTATTAATTAATTAATTATTATCATACATATATATCTATCCACAAAACGAAAATCTTAAGTGATGTTAATAAAATTCATTTTTATTATTCCCACATACTCTATCATTTATAAAATTAATTATTATTATTACTACGTCTACATTATTTATTTATTTATTTATTTATTTATCGATTACGATTTGATAATTTTTTTTTTTTTTAAAACGGTTAAGATGTTTCACGAGTGAAAAGGTTAAAAAAAGGTTTACGCGGAGAAAGGAATAAATAAACGATTCTTCTACTACGACATGTGGAATTTATCGTTTTTATTTTCATCATCATTATTATTATTAATATATTCTATCGATTTTCGAAATTTCTTTTTTCCCCTCTACCACACCCCCTTACCTCCCCCTCCCCTTCTCTCCTCTCCCCCCGATTTTTTTTTTTTTTTTTTAATATTTTTTAACGTGGTTAGGTTACATATGTTTTTTTTTCGGAATCATTTTTTTTTTAATAAATTATTATCATCATCATTATTATTATTATTATCATTACTATAAATTTCTTTTTTTTTTTTTTCATCGCAACGTAAAAAAAAATTATGAAATATGAATGAATGAAAAAATTATCATTTAAATTATTTTGATATTTTATTATTACCCTTAAACCGTTCGGTCTGTTTTTATATATTATAATAATAGAAATTTCTGGAAAGAAGCCGAAAAAATTTTTTTCCCTTACTTACGATATCCATTATTTATATTTTGATAATAGTTTGATAATTAACCAATAAAATGCCAAGGATTATTTAAATAAATAAATAAATAAATTTAAAAGTCACGGACACTTGAACATAAGAAGAAGAAGAAGAAAAAAAAAAAAAAAGGGTTATCAAATTTATTATTATTATTATTTATTATTATTATTATTACTGAAATGATTATAAGTATCATAAGTACTATTACGAAAGTTTAAAAATAACGTCAATAATAATAATAATAGTGATAATAACGAACGATAATAATAATAATTTATTTTTTCGGCGTTTTAAATCTTAATATTTAAATAAATCAAAATATCCGAAAATGGTGGAAAAAAACTTATTTTAAACAAATTTTTTTTTTTCTCGACAATAATAATAATAATAATTTAAACGTAATTTTAAAATAATATTTTAAAAAAATAAACCGGAAATTCATCATCATCATATCGTTTTTTCGATTATTTTATTCGAGTGTGTGTGTGTGTGTGTGTGTGAAAAAAGCTTTTGTTTAATTAAAGTGATAAACATATAAAAATAAAACGTTGAATGATCATCGATAGGGTTTTTTTTTTTTTTTTTTTTTTTTTTTTTGTAAATTTCGATTTAATAACAATAAAAACATTTAATCGTAACAAACAAACAAACAAACGAACAAACAATAACAAACTAACGGACGGTTGGGAAAAAAATAAAAAAAAAAAAAAAATTATCATTGACTGCGTATATGTGTATGTGCGTGAATTAAATTGATTTGTTAAACATTTTTAATAAAAATAATAATAATAATAATAATAAAATTTTTTTCCCGTTTTTAAAAGTGTTTACTATTATTATTATTATTTTGTTCGCGTTTCAATTTTTTTTTTTTTTTTAAAAAAAAAAAAAAAATGAAAATTTTGTTTTTAATTTCGTGTTATTACGTAATAACAACACACGACGTTAACGGTTATGAAATATTTAATTCGGAACGACAATGTTATTTACCGCCTTATTTAAAAAAAGAAATACAAAGTTATGGAAATTTTGTCAACGACATCATTCAAATTTCAACAACCGGAAATTACGCCGGAGAATATTATAACGATTTATCGAAATTTATCGATAGATACGGAAACAGACTTTCAGGTATGAATACGAATAATTTTCCCTTTCCATAAAGTGTTTCGTGCAATGTTTTAAAAAAAAAAAAAAAAAAAAATTAATTTTGACTTACCGCTTAACAGGTACGAAAAATCTAGAAGAATCCATAAATGATATTGCCATGAAATCGGCATCGAAAGGATTGGAAGTTTCTCTGGATCCTGTCATGGTACCACATTGGGTACGAAATTACGAATCCGCACATCTTTTAAGCCCTAGAAAAAAAGAATTGAATATATTAGGTTTGGGTTATTCCCCGGGTACTCCCGGTTCGAATGGTATAACCGCCGAAGTTATTGTTGTTGATAATTTTGAAGAACTCGAAGAAAGATGCGCCGAAGTATTTTGGTTTTTTTTTTACCCCTGGTTTTTATAAATTTAATTACGAGATTAATATACATAAATTTTTTTTTTAGGTGAGTGGTAAAATCGTTTTATTCAATGCAAATTTTACCACTTATGGTGAAACAGTAAAATACAGGAGTAAGGGACCGGCAAAAGCGGCTAAATTAGGTGCTGTTGCTGCCCTTGTAAAATCCGTTACGCCTTTTTCCATATACAGTCCACATACGGGTACGACAAGTTTTAAAAATGGCGGACCTAAAATCCCTTCCGCATGTGTTACGTTAGAAGATGCTGATTTTTTGGCACGACTTTTCAAAAGAGGTTTGATTGATTTACTCATCGATTAAATGAAAACATTTTCATGTCTTATGTGCAACATTTTAGTCCAATTATCATTATTATTTAAATAAATTAGGTCATAAAATAATAGTTAATTTACAAATGAATGCTGTATTGAAACCATCCACGCTATCGAGGAATTTATTAGCCGATTTCAGAGGAAAACAACTTCCTAATCATCAAGTTATCGTATCCGGTCATATAGATAGTTGGGATGTTGGAGAAGTATGAATTCTTTCTTCTGCTCTTTTTTTTTTTCCCCTCCTTAATTTAAATGAATTTTCTTTTTTTAAATTAACAGGGAGCTTTGGATGATGGTGTGGGAGCTTTTCTCGCTCTTCATTCATTATTTTTACTTAAATTTATGAATGTTCCTACACCGAAGAGAACCATGAGAGCAGTTTTATGGACTGCTGAAGAATTAGGTTTGATCGGAGCACAAGCTTATTTGAAAGAACACGAATGCGAATTACAATATATTACTGCTGCTTTAGAATCTGATTTTGGTAGTTCCATTCCTCAAGGTGTATATTTTTTTCTATAATTTTCGTTCTTGATTATTAAAAGCCAATAACAATTTTCAATTGTTGTTATTAAGGATTAAATTTCGAAGGAAACGACGAAGCATATTGTATTGTGAAAGAGATAGCATCATTATTTGATAGATTAAATGCTACAACTGTTGATAAAATAACTGGTGTTGGTAGTGACGTATCAGTATTCAAACCGAATGGTATTCCTCTTATCGAACCACGTTATGTAAATAGTAATTATATGTGGTTTCATCATACAAATGGAGATTCGATGAGAACTCTTGTAAGTGAAAACAAGTTTTTAACTTAACAATAAACCTTAAATACAATTCAAAAAATTTTTTAAACGTTGATGCTCTTATTAAAAAAATTCATACCATTAAATTATTGGTTTTAACGTTACAGAATAAGGAAACCATGGATAAAAATTTGGCTGTGTTTGCTGCTACAACATACATTCTTGCAAATCTTTCTGTACCTTTACCGAGACCAGGACAAACTGTATGGGATTTAGTTCCTAATAAATAAATATTAAAAAATTATAATCATCAAATTGTAATTTTTCCCCTAACCTAACCTATTAATTGTTCTAACAAATAATAGCTTTAAGTTATTTATAAAAAAAATTATGTAATAAATTATTACCTTGTTTATTACGAATAATAATAATTTCTGAATTTCTTTTTTAAACATTTTTGGTCTTGACGATAACACTTCAAAGATATTCTTTTCATAAATTTTTCATTTTAATTATAATTCTTTACACAAATGACTAAAAAAAAAACAAAAATTTCAACTTTTATTATTAAAATTAACGAGAAAAATTCACATTATGAAGAGTTTTAAACAATATAAAGGATTTTAAAAAATTCATGAAGTAAAAATTTTGTTTTTTTTTAAAGGAAAATCAAAAAAATAATTTAAATTTTCTTTTAAAACTATTAATTTTTAAAAAAAAAAAGAAAATAACAATAAATAAAAACCTTTTGATATTTAAACAATTTGTTCGATTTGACACACTCAACACCAAAACGATTCAAAGTTCCTCGTTTTTAATGAAATCACTATTTTTAAATATTTAAACATTTTCTAAAAAAACAAAAGTATTGTTACAAATAGTAAATAATTTATATAAAATTATATAAAAATCAAAATGAATTCAACAATGCAGATATTTACTCACAGAAACAGGTGAGAATGTTACTATATACACGAAAAGAATTGGAATAAGATATTGTCTAAACGATAATTTTCTATGCTTTGGCAAATTTTGCCATTTTTTCCGCTTCAATTTGTTTATCTAATTCTTCTAAGTAAGCAAATCTTTCTTTTAAAAACGTTTGATATTCATTTGGATCTAAATCTCGGGTTATTTCAATACCGTTTTGACGAGCAACAAGTAAAACTCTTCTTACAACTTGTTCAAGATCAAATAATTGAAATTTTTCATATGGATCATTATGTTTTATTTTAGCTATTTCGTACGCGTGTTTTAACGAAATTTTTCCAGAAGGTGTAGTATCTAAAACATTAAAATTTAACGATTTTAATTTATCATTAAAATGTTTAGGGTTTTACCAATAATTAATAATCTACAAACCTCCTTCGACTTTTCCTCTGTTAATCCCTGCAGCTTGAAATAAATAATATTTTATCGGTGGAGTGTGTATTTCAATGATAAATGATTTATCTGGTTTTATACGAACTGTAACGGGCAAAGGAATACCCTGTTTGATAGTTTTTGTCTGCTCGTTAAAATTTTTACAAAATGCTGAAATATTAAGACCGAATTTTCCCAAAATGGGTCCTAATGGTGGTCCAGCTGATGCTGATTGTGCTGCGATGACAGTTCTAAATAAGTTTGCCTGTATAACACGAGAACCAGTTGCTGATAGAGCAGCTTTTACTTTCGCAACTTTAGACATTCTTTAACAAATTATAATTGTAATATACTCTAGTAAAATCTAACCGAACTTGGTTTCTCACTACTACTGCCACGACTTTTTTAATTTGCCGCTTCGTGTAATTTACAAAAAAAAAACCGTTACTTTTATGGCGCTCAAATTCTACCAAATTTTAATTTGAATCTATATAAATATTGATTAAAATAAGTTAGGGATTCAATATTTAGGTATGAAAGGGATGAATCTCGATTCGATTTATTATAATTTGTTTATTTAAAAAAAATAAATTCGTTTTAAAATTTCTTTTTTTTTATAAAATTAGAATTAGAGGAAGAATTTTTCCTTTTTTTCGGCGGATACGATTTTTTAAAACCTTTTTTCCTATAATCTTTTTTGTTGATCCAATTATCCCTTTCATTTTCCCATTTCAATTGTTTTACACCTTAGAAACAAAATTATAAAACGATTAAAACTAACGAAAGTGCTTTCATAATAAATAATTTCCGGTCCTATAAATAAATAAAAATTTTACCTGCACGATCTTTATTGCTGACTGCGTGTGATCCTCCATCGTTATCCCCTTCTTCGAGAATCTCAGCAAATTCTTCAGCTGATGCAAATAAATTTTTGAAATCATCTTTGCTTTTCTTTTTGTTAACCTGAAAAAAAAAAACAAAAAAACTTTTTTTAAATCAATTCTGATAAAAAATGTCGTGACGTGATTCATTTCGCAGACTCATCACCTTGGAGGATGCTTTCTTCTGTGGTAATTTGGGAAGTTTGAAACCGCTCGACAATAATTCAGCTTCATCCTCATCTAATTCGCTTCCTTGAAATTCTTCTCCTTCATCCGTAAAATCATCAATTTCATCTCCGTCGAAATCTTCAGCCAAAGAACCATCTTCGGATCCATCATCAAATCTTCTTCATCTTCGTCTTCGCTTCGTCACATCTCGTCACGTCAT